TTTTTTTTTGGCTTCATTGGGTCCAAATCAAATAATATTATCGAGTTCATGTGGGTCCCTCCTTATACTGGCATCATTAGGAATGAAGAAGTTGACCTATTAGCAAACCAAGCCATATCATGCCCTGAGTCAGTTGAAATTAAATATATAATATAATGGTCTATTGAGAATAGGAAATATAATAGCTATCCAACAGTGGCAGTCCTAGTGGGAATGCATAATAAATAATAAATCAAAAAATGTAAAAAAAACCGTCAAAAAATGACGACCTCCCACTAATACAACATGTATAGTAAACATTGTCACCACTAGAGCTAGAATCGGCCATACACGGCTCACCCATTCTTATCTATTCAACCTACAAGAAGAACGGTCAATCTGCCATCAATGCAATGAAATTCTGTCAATCGAGCATATCACACTTCACTGACCTATGTATAATGAAGAACGAAAAATTTTAAGTCATCCCACTAACATGAAGGAAGCATTAAGCAAAGCCAACGTTGACGCCATCTTTAATTTTTATAGATCAATTAATCTAATAAACCTATTTTAACCCAATATCCCAAATGTATATACTTATATATATATACTTTTAAAATTTAAAAATCTTATGTATCTTATGTAATTTTATCTATTATATCTGTATAATTCTAAGTAAAGTAACACTGTATAGGCTAATGACCATAGATGTCCCAAGCCTTTATTCTTAATAAAAAAAAAAAAAAAAAAAAAAAAATGGTGACCTAAGCATACAATTATTCAATATTTTTTTCTATATGTAATACAATAATAAAAAAAAAAAAAAATAGTATTAAAGTATAAATTTTTTTTCAAACCAAAATTATTTTATCACCATTTCATTAAGAATATGATGTTAAAAATAACAAAAACGTCAAATACTATAAATATCACAATGAAATTTTTTGAAAATTTCAATTTTCTTCAATAATAATTTATTGAGAATTACAGTTAAGGATTTAGAGGAAGAATAAATAAAATAAAAGCAGAAAACAACAAATGAACAAAAAACAATTTGTTAACATCATATTTTAAATAAAATATATTTAAATAAAGTTTAATTTCATGTTATTAAATTACCAATTTGTATAATATTTACAATGACTTAATCTAATGATAAAAAATAACTATAACATTTTAATCATCAATTTCGCTTAAAAAATAATGTAATACGTACTCATTTTCTTCTATTGAACAATGTAGTAATAATCCTTCTACTACGTGACATAATATTTTTGCAAAATTTAATGTATCACAATTTAAAAATTGTGAAATTTTTTTTATATCAACTACTGTAGAATATTTGTTTTCTTTGCCTGAAAATCAATTTTAAGATATATTATATCCATAATATAATTATTAGTTGGTAGTGTAATATTATTTATTAGGAATATGATATTTGTTCTCTTTTTATATTTTAAATATGAAATAATTTATCTTGTTAGCTAGTTGTATAGCTAAACTATATAAAACATAATAATTTGTGAACTTTTTTACTAATAAAGCAAACACATTTTTTATATAAATTTTTTTATTAATTTTAACTACAATAGTAATATGTTTTTTTTAATAAGGTAATAGGTGTAATGGTGAAAATTGTGTTGACATTCATAGTTTATTTTTAAAAATATAACTTTGTCACAATAATCTAGAATGGTCCTAAAAGCAAAAGCCTCAATGCAGCTAAACAGTAGCAGTGATTATGTCATATCTTGCTCTCAAGTTATATATATATATATATCGGTAAAAGGACGTGTCGCTCCCGCCGTTTCGTTCCTGTCAAAAAAACGAGTCAACGGATGTTTCGTCCCCGTCTATTATTAAGATAGGACAATTGACCCCCGGGAGTTATATAGATGTATTTATACCAAGTGGCTTATCCAGAGGGATTAGGTAGTTATTAACCCCCCGAAAATGTTTAGTGTATATATATTGTCTATTGATTATAATAAAAACACACAAAATTAAAAAAAAATTGAATATTACATTTTTTATAACCCAACCCCCCCAAAAAAAAAAAAATTCTGGATACGCCACTGTTTATACCTACCTATAGGATGTTTGGCTCTGGGAATTTTAAATCATTTTAAAACGCACAATTTCACAACAAATTTAAATCCAAAATAACTGTATATTGTATAAACACTATAATCAAATACAAATTATTATATCTTCAGGGAAAAATTGGTTAAAAATAATTTAAACAATATAAAAATGTAAACAATGTATTGTTTTAAAACTGACCTGTTGCAGACTGTATGCCAATCACTTCAAGTCCTACAAAATGAGTATCAACTGTTGCAGATAAATTTGATACACCTAAGACCATTTTTCCAGATGAATCCAATGATACTTTTAATCTTGGACCAATCCGTTTCATCTTGTCAACAATATGTCTTACTACTCGTATAGATGGCATTATAACACTAATCTAAATGTAATTAAATTAATTATAATGTTTAATTCCATACCAAATTTTATTTAAAATTTTACCTTTTAATTTTTTAAATATATCTAGCAATTTAAAAATGTTGTTGAATTTTAAATTAAAACTTTTGGCTGACATTTAGTATCCTATCTATGAATTACTATATTATATTAATAATGACCAACCATTTTTTATAAACGGCCATTAAAAAAAAAAAATTATGTGAGCCATAAACTCCAGTTTTTTATTTTAAGTTAATAGATTATTTTATTTTACTGTAGGTATTTCTTAATAAAGGTACAATGATAATTTTAATTATTTATTATATATTGATTGTTATAAATATGAAAATAATATAAGGTATAAATATATCTTTTTTTATTTTAATATGAGTATTGATTTTGTTTTTTTTTTTCACAGAGAACATATATATTAGATTTTCATTTGATTGAATTTCCTGAAGAAAAGCATGAAGATGTTAATTTGTAATCAGAGACCAAATTTTGCTTTTATTAATTTTCATAGCTAAAAATATCATACATGTATTTATTATAAATTGATCTTTTCCCAGTTAATTCTATATGGAACCACTTTGATGCACGGTGAAAATTTAAAATTTTGTTTATATCAATTACTACAAAATTTTTAATGACAAAGTCTATAGAGAAGACACACATTGATATATTTTTTGTTAATTTATAATTCTATGATTACTTTTTATATATTTTTAAGTATTATTCTAAAGCATAAATGTTTATGGTGAAAACCAATGAGTAAAAATATATTTTATTATTTAAACACCTTTTAAAATATATTCAGAATGATTCTGGTTAAACTTATAACCTATTGTTATTAAATATTAAATTTTTTTTGCAGGTAAATAATTGTAACAATATTGATAGATAGCACACTAAAAGAAAGTCAAATATTGAATAACAAATATATTAGTATTGTTACATTATGAGAAGGTATGGCTGGCTCGTTATACTCTGGCCAATCTTTTGGTAGTATAATGGTAACTGGAATATCATGAACACATAACTGCTTACTAGACACTTGAGATTCCTAAATATAAAGAACAAATTATAATAGTACTTGAAATTTACAAAATTATTTAAAAATATACTTACCAACTCTAATTCAATAGTTAAACATGGTGAATGTTTGTCTGTCAATTTCATTTTTAATGTTTTTAAGTTTGTTTGTTTTGCAGAACTTAATGAAGACGCAAACATATCTAAAAACAAGAAACAATATTTAACAGTACTCATAAGATCATAAAACTAATTAAATATCACTATTGTAAAAAATTTAAATACTTGTTTTTATATTTTATAAAAAATATTATTTCTTTCAACAAATATATTTTGTATTACAATACATTGTTTCAATAATAACACTTAAAATCATTAATATAGGGAAAAAAAATGTCATAAAATGATTTTTAGTAACATATTTCATAATACACAATTAACATATCCAGTTACTCATCTTACAAATCTATGTACAATTTTTTTTTAATTATAAATGGATAAAATTAAAATAGTAAAATAATTGTAACAATATTATTTACCATAGCCAATAGGTAATAGTGATCCACTAACGGGTGCAGACTTAGAACTATAACTGGAGGGGATCATTTTTTTTGAAAAGACAAAGAAAAAAATATATAATACAAATTTAAAAAATAAAAGTAAATTAATAATTAAAATTAGAACTTTATTAATTATTGTTAATTTTTAAAACTAAATAATAAATGTTAATCTCCTTTGTTTTATTACATACATTAATTTATAAATAAACATGAAAGATGTAATTTTGATGTTTTTTTGGGGAGTCATAACCTTTATGACTCCCTAGGATCAGCGTCTGTAAATCAAATTGTATAATTAATAATTTCTTGATTATAATACATACCAATAGGTAAACTGAAAAAAATTTCATTTGATTCTGTTTCACCAATCATATCATAATCTTTGAAAAATGAATGTTGGTCTAACACAGACCAAACACTAATTTGATTATTGTTTGACTCATTTAATGCAATCAAGTACAACTTATTAGAACTCAACCTCAAAACTACACTTTTACATAACTTGGACAAGATAATCACAATACCTGTATTAAAATAATAAATAACATTATGAAATACAATAAAATAATAATTAAATATTGAATTATGTAGATGCAAGTCATATAAGTTTGAAACTTACTATAAAACTGTTTCATACAATGAGGATCAACGATTTTACCACGAAACTTCATTCTTTCATTGATAGTTTTAATTAGTATGAATAAAATAATCCACTGATGTACCGTCATAAAATATCAAATTTTTCACACGTAAATATACCCGGCTCCAATTAAATAAAAATACTATCAAAATTATCGTGTTATCAAAATGGAACTTTTTTTTAAATTCCCGCCACATTAGTATCATTATGACAATAATATTAAACGGTTATCATCACGGTGCAAACTTATTGAGGACTATGGTTTTTTTTATGCACAGTGCTAATATATAATATTCTATAATAAAATAAAAGAATAATATTCTTCTATAAACCATACACAATCATGATTCTAAAATATGATTGATTACCAAAAAATTATCTTATATAAGGCGATATTTTAGATTAATTAAATCAAGTCTCCATTCTAAGGTATCTCCCGTTCATCGACAGTGCATTGCCAATATGATGTATTTAAGCATCTTATTGTTGTTATCATCTGTCAGCTGTTTTAGGCTAACAGTATATTAATGCTTAGCCCTACCCAACATAAAAAAATAAAACAATATTGAAGATTGCACACATACAATCAACAGTAGTTTCCCAAAATATTAAGAAGCTCAATCTGATCGAAAGTTTTTGATTTTCGTTATGCTATTGAATATTTATTGAATTATTTTCTTCCGTTTTAAAATTTTACCAGTTATATTTTACAGCAGCTATTAATCATGTCGGGAAAAGACAAATTACCAATTTTTCCATCCCGTGGGTAAGTAAAGCATACTGATAAGATTGAGTGAATTTGGGCGTTGTCAATTTAGAAGTATTAATTTGTGGTTTTTTGACAAAAACCCGTTCAATTTAAGCATATCACCAACGATTAACATAATCTATTCTAAACACTTATGATTTTGTTGTAATTTTACTCATGTATCTTTAAATATATATATTTGTATATAAAAATTAAAAATGATCGTAGAATTAAGTATTAATAGCTAATTATTACAGTTTCAACGATATATTTTTATAATATATTTATGTATCTAATTTTAATTAAATTTTAGTGCTCAAACCATGATGAAAGGGCGTCTCATGGGTGCACAAAAAGGTCATAGTTTGTTAAAGAAAAAAGCTGATGCCTTACAGATGAGATTTCGTTTGATCCTTAGCAAAATAATTCAAGTATATATCATACTATTTCATATAGTTTGAAAATTTGTTTTTATATTAAATGACTTTTTATAAATAGACAAAGACATTGATGGGTGAAGTAATGAAAGAAGCAGCATTCTCTTTAGCTGAAGCTAAATTTACAACTGGTGATTTTAATCAAGTTGTCTTGCAAAATGTTACAAAAGCTCAAATAAAAATTCGCACCAAAAAAGATAATGTTGCTGGTAAATTTAAAATAATAAGTCTTAATGTAATAGACTATAATTTTTTTAATTATTTTTCTAATTTGTTTTATTTAGGTGTGACATTACCAGTTTTTGAAAGTTATCAGGATGGTACAGATACATATGAATTGGCTGGTTTAGCTCGTGGTGGTCAGCAATTGGCAAAACTTAAGAAAAACTATCAAACTGCTATTAAACTTTTGGTTGAATTAGCATCATTGCAAACATCTTTTGTTACATTAGACGATGTTATTAAAATAACAAATAGAAGAGTCAATGCTATTGAACATGGTAAGGCATTACACTTAATAAAATAGAACTTTTAAATAAATTTAACAATTAATTTTCTAGTTATTATACCCAGAATTGAAAAAACACTTGCCTACATTATTTCTGAACTTGATGAACTAGAGCGAGAAGAATTTTACAGGTATATAATGTACATTTGCTAAATAATACATTAATTAATACTTTATATAGTTCAAATGATATTAGTAGTATATTTGTTGTTTTGATTTAGTATATATTTATTTTATTATATTTATCATTTCATTATATTATTAAGATTAAAGAAAATTCAGGATAAGAAGAAGATTGCCAATAAAAAGAAAGAACAACATAAGAAAGATTTGAAGGAAGCCGAGTATAGTAACATGTTGGATGAAGGAGATGAGGATTTGTTATTTTAATTGAGATAATGTCAAAAATATTTTACCTCAAATAAATATGAATTAGGCACTGTAAAAGAATGTTCAGAAATTATTTTCTTCCTACAAAATAAAAACAAAATAAATTTCATTGTATTTCATTTTCTCATAGTAATAATATAAAATCAAATTATATTTTAAATTGGACATAATACTAAATAATCATTTTCAGTTACCATGTAATTTATCCAATCATCCTTATTAAACCTAGAAAAATGATGTACATTTAATGAAAATTATTTAAATTTGATTTATAATTAATACTCATAAGTATGATCACATTTGGTCAATTGTTATGTTGCAAAATAATTGTAAACAATTTTAGGATATATAATAGATAAGAGTTTAATAGACATTATTTTATCGGTTTATGTTAAATTATTATTTATGTAATCTAAATTTAAATCAGTCATAAATATATTATGATATTTAATGTTTATAATGTTTAGCATTTTTATTGTTCATGTAATAAACATTCCACCATTTATTTAATTACCAGAAAAATATTAATGCAGACTATTATCATGTTTTGATTGAATAAATAATTTTAACGTGAATATGGATTAATTTTTGTTTTATTGTTAAACAGTACAATGATAATAACCATACATTTACAAAGTATGTAATACTTTACTTTGCCATAATATTTTTTTAAATATCAGAGATTATGATTTTTTAAGAAAAATGATAATATTAATTATACTGCTAAAATATTATTTTGTTTACTCTCTAATATAGAATTTATTGATTTGGACTTATTATTTTTAATTATTTATTTAAACATATTCTCTAATATATAAAAAAAAATATTAATTATTTTTAAATCCTAAATTAATACCCATATAGGTAATACAGTAGTCACTCAATAATTCGAAAAACACCATAAATCGAACTAAACGCTTAGTCCCCTGAGAAAACCTCTATAATTAGAAGAAAATACATGTATTCTAGTCCCCTCTATAATTCGAAATGTCTGTTGGTGGGACTCACTCTACAATTCGAATTTTTTTTCCAGAACCTCTATAATACGAATTCCTTAAACGTGGTTATATGTATGTTCATATGTATAAAGTATATTCATGTGTACATCTATTTGACGTACTCGCATGAAATTAATAACGACGGCAATTAAATATTGTCGTAGCTTATACATTTTATCGTACCTTACTTACCTAATCTAGACCTTAAATCGTATCATTTTCCCATTTTTATGTCAGGATTGCAAACATTTTTCGAGCATTCTGAAATGGACGAAAAAGAATGCGATACAATTTTCAATGCTATCAGTAAGTTAGATAACGTTATGGACCAGATTGTGGCCAACAATTTAACACAAAAAAAAGAACAGATTTCTTTAAAATGTAAAATATAATACATAATATGTATAATAAATACATTTCAATTAATAAATGTAATATATATATATATATAATTTTCACCTCTCTTTAATTCGAATTAATTTTTTTCCTTCGATTATTCGAACATTCGGTAAATCGAAAACCTCTATAAATCGAATTTTTTGCTCAGTCCCCTGAATTTTGAATTATCGAGTGACTACTGTATGTTGTGATATATTTTAACATTAATATTAGAACAATAGTATAATAATGTAACTTATTATATTTATTCATGGACCTATTTTCAGACCAAGTATGTTTTATTCAATTGCAAAAACTATTTGTGTATTGATGATAAATGATAAATGATATGATTAAAGTCAGTTACAACAATTTTGGAAATTAAAAATATTTCTTTATTTTATTTTATTAAAATTTAATAACAGAAACTGCAAATTGATAAACTAATCGCTAATATACTATCACCATAATTTTTTCCAATGTTAAAATCATATCTATTCTTACTAATTAGAGGTTCTGATAAAAAATATTCAAATAAGTATTTCGTCTTGTATTATTGTTCTAACAAAAATATTTATGATTTTGTCGAATTATAGAGGTTTTTGAACTATCGAGAGTCTATTGTATATAATTTATTTACCTAACCTGCATAGGCGCAATTTGGGGGGGGGGGGTCTAATTTTCGAAATTAGCACCATCAAATTTGTTCATGTTAATTTACCTTTAAATACTCATTTCTTATTATGTATACAAAAACAGTTTTTATTGTATAAATATATACATTTATTAATTAAATAATGGTGGTGGAAGTTCGCCCTTCGTCTCTTTGGTCCTCGAACTGGATTATAGTAATAGGTAGGGATGCCAGATTTTGAAATCCCTAAACCTAAACCTATTGAATCTATCGAATGATTCTTTTTTTTATTTTGATATGAAAACAAAATAAATATATTAAACGATATTTTCTATCAGCTTCTATTAACTGGGATAATCTGAATGATCGGCCGGGACACCGGGACGAGTGGCAAGCCTAGTAGTAAATATATTGAGTTTTAAAGAAATTATAAGTCATTTCTTTATCAAAATGTTTCTGAGCAAAGGTTCAGTATAAAAATCAACGATTTATAAGTATATTTTACCATTTTTAGTCTAATTATCGGTAGGTTCTTTTTTTATCAACCCATATAACATTTTACTGTCTGACGAAGAAAATTATTTATTTTTTAACCAAATATTAATTATTCAAAGTTTCATTATGATTGGATGGACCACATTTTTTTAATAAACATTTAATGTTGAAAATTGCCGCCACTGGTACTATATAATATTACTAATCGCCATGGTCGGCCGTGGTGCGAGCCTAATACGATAATGAAACATAATAATAATATAAAAAATATCACAATTTCAATGGAAAAATATTTTTTCCTAAATAAAATAATAAGACTAAATCTAGGGGAGATGGTAAGTTCCTACTCGAAGTATAGCAGATAAACCTTTAATTATGTAAGTTCCAAAACGAAAAATAATATACTGGTACGTAAGAAGTTCCAACACGAACAAAAATACAGCAATATGTAATATGTAATTGGGGATGCCGTTTTCGTTTGGACCAAGCTTGGTACCATAAAATTCAAAGCTTAAGTTAAGCATAAGAATTTAATAACGCAGATGAAAACCTAGGAAAGTAGCTGGTGCATTTATTTGATTTACTATTTCTTAAGCCAACAGATTTTTGGGGGTTGTTTTGTTGATAACTTCATGGCTATAAAAACTGATAATAATAAAATAAATTAATTCCGCAATTATTTTGTGACAAATTACATAGAGGAAAATAGTACGTCTCCCTAATATTTGGGCTATTGTTAATTCTAATAAAAGTCTTACAACAAATGCTTGAGAAAGTTTTCACTCAGAATTAAACTCAATTTGATCATTCAAATATATTAAAAATAATAGAAGTTTAAAAATGTTTCAAAATGAAACATATATTAAAATAAGAACATCAGATAACAATAGAGCTTAAAAAAAAAAACAAAATTACGAATATATAACCAACAAAGTATTAGAATACAACTTAAATCAAATAATATAATATGATTATATTGAAAGTTTGAGTTTTCGTAATAATCCATGCAAAATATAATTTATATTATTATTATTGTCATATTGAATACGTATAACATGTAAATAACTATAAATTCTTTAATATGTATATGGTTATACATATGGTGTATATATTTATTGTTATTGTGTTGGTTTATATATATATATATACATGATTCAATTAAAAATTGGTTTTTTATAAAATATAACACAAACAATTTTTAACCACACAAACCACAATATCAATCCTAAGTCTGAATAAAGTGGAAAGATTTGTATTCGTTATACACTTTTTTCATGTAGGAACTTACGTACCAGCACATTTTTTTCGTGTAGGAACACTCGTAAATAAATCTAAGAGTAATTTTTACCTGTTGTAACTCGTATAGGTACTTACATTTTAGTATATTATTTATTATTTTTAATACATTGTATTTTATTACATGTATTTAAAATCAATTAAAATATATTTTAAATCATGGTACTCACAAACCTGATAACGTTTTATATTAAATGTGTACATTTAGAATTTTAAAAGATTTAAGAATTATTAAAATATCTTAGTGCCTGCCATTATTTATTTATAATAGACAATATTTTAAACATAAACACAAATTGTATAAAATGCAATATATTTTCTTCTAATTATTAATAATTGTAACATATATGTTTATTGAGATTAATATTAATATCATAAAATAATAACAATTTATAACATCGATTAAGTTAAATTTAAATTTAAAATACAATTTTAAAATAAAGTTAATATTCAAGTGTAGGTATTAAATTAATAATATTTTAAATTGTATATTTTTAAAAATTTGATTTAAAAATAAGTAATATATAATTTGTTGGTACAGTGGGAACCCAGAAAGGAATTTCGTGTCAGAATTGGGCAAAAACAAATAAAATAAAGAATAAAAAATAAAAGCATGAATAACTAATTTATTTATGAATAAAGAATAATTTTTTATTCTGAATAATTGTGGTGTACTGAATAAAGAATAAGATTATTCCGAATAGTTTTATTCGTGAATAAAATAATTATTAAGAATAAATGTATTCGTTAAAATCATGAATGATATTATTATTTTTTTTAAATTGTGTATTATACTAATTGCAATCATATGGACGTGAATTGTGCCCTATCAAGATCTACATTTTGGTAACTAAACAGGTTACTAACAGAAAATTGTTGTAGAAATGTTATCATCTTTGGCTTTTTTACATTAATCTTTGTAGGTATATCAGTAAATTACCAAACAAATTTTTATATAAATTTCACATAATTTAACACTTTAATAATAATTAAAGTAATAACAACAATAATCACAATTTATAGTAATAATTAAAACAATTATCGTTATAGTAACTTTAATAGTAGTAATGTGTATCAAGAATAATAATATTTATATGTATATTATTTATATTATTTAAGTCTAAATAATAAGTCTATTATTATTATTAAGCTTAGGGACTTATAGCTCTAAAAAATACACAAATATGCATGCAAATATGTTTCTAAAATCATTAAAATATGCATTATAATATGCATTTATATGCATTAAAAAAAAAAAAAAAAAATGACCACATAGTACACAAAATAAAACGTGTTCATCGGATGTAAATGTATCTTTAAACTCCGAAACAAAACTTTGTAGTCGGCTACTCGTAGACTGTTGTACTTTTAGCATTACACAATATTATAAAATATACGCGTACGATGTTTTATGTATGATTCGACGTTGTGTGATTGCGAGATGCAAAAACAACAACGAATAATAACAATGTCGTAGCAACCAAACATTGCGCCCGGGGCGAAACTTCAAAATGCGCCTTTTCGTATTTTCAATTTGAAAATATTATGCTTATTAGATATTATTTTCGATGATTGTTTTGATTATAATATGAAGGCTGTTAAAGACTTCGTAAACAAAATATACAACATTGACCGTTGTAATTTTTAACATTAAACATAAAATTTTAATTTTTGAGTTCTCCCAGGAATCGCGCTCGGGACGTAGGCACCTCTCACCACCCCCTATCTACGGCCCTGAATAACAATCAACTGAACTGGATACTAAACAAATAATCTATTATTCTATATCAACTATTATCTTTATCGACATCCGGTCGATATCTAGCGGGTTACACAGTCGATACAGGTTTATAGTATATTTATACTTACACGAATATTATAACGAGAGTTAGTTTGGAGATAGCATATTACTGAAAGTATTAAGTCATCTTAATATTTTTTTCTTTCGATAGGTTAAAATATGTATCTATAGTTTTTAATTTTAAATTTGGAAAATTTGTCAAAATATGCAAAATAAGCATAAACATTTTAAAATATGCACTTTCCTGCAAAATCTATCAAATATGCAAAAATATGCACATTCAAATTTTTGATCTGATATCATAGCACCGAGAAACGAATTTATTTCGCACTCTGCTATATTTAACAATAATTAAAAAAAGTATACTATCTTTAAAACATTTTTTAGATTATTGATTTTTCAATAATAAAAATAAATGTAAATACAAATAATTACAGATTTTGTGTAAATTTTGAGCTAGAGACGTTGGGGTTCCATGAAACAAAAAATATTTGTTAAGGGTTCCATGGTCATAAAAGTTTAGGAACCGTCCATACTATTCTATATCTATAGTCAATACTCTATCTTATCGATGTAATAATATTGTTATCTGGTATTGGACATCATTAAATATTTATACATACATACCTATAGCTTAAAAATTAAATTTTAAAATTTTTTAAAAAAAAGCTAAATGCTAAATTGCCCAAACGCATGACTTTCCGGCATGAAATTCGGACATACACCTCTAAGACATGGCTTACAATTCAGACAAAACTCTCTGAGACCTGGCATGCAATTCGGACAATCCAATTTATGTTTATTTTTTTGGCATGCAATTCGAACGCACCGATTTGTATAGACCATTACAGTAACTCGATCTTTTTAGACTTAAAAACCTCGGCCTGTATTTTCTGTAAACGATATCAGTATATTTTGTAGTAAAGCTTTCCAATTAAGTACAGTTTCGCCTCAACTATAAATTTTAAAGTTCAGATTGTATTTTAAATTTGAATTTTTCCTTGAATTTGGCAATGCTGCACTATTCACACTAGGTTACTCTCCTCTAAAGTCTAACTGTCGAATGTTGTGATGTGTTTTTGGTCTATGACGGATAATAGAGAGTATCTAACGGTTAACGAGTTTCTATTGTATATACATAATTATTTAGCATAATGTCATAATGAACCATATAATAATTTTAAATTAATTCATTACTAAATACTACAATACCTATTATGTGCTTTTAAAATAAAATTTATTGTCGTCGTAATTTTTTAAAAGTTAGTTACAATGATATTTAGTTAATTATGTTGATCGATTTGTAACGCCATCGTATTCATTTGAATCAAAAATGTAATTTTATTCTAATTTATAGCATGTAATAAATTAATGACTCTTTTGAGGATTCAATGACAACAAAATTAATATATGTAATAATTTGTTAAAGACTTGAATAAATTAGCTTATTAGTTTATTTTAATAAATATTTTTTTTTTAATGAAAAAACCTGTTACACAAGATACCAAACCTTCTATATTTTATGTTTTACTAACGAATGTATATTGTAATGTATAATGTACAGTTTATTTTTAAATGTCTTTAGTGTCTTAGGTATATGTATACAGGCGCATGCTGTATTGTTTATATAGTCTCACCATCTGTCCCTAAAAAACCGGTTCACAGATGTTTATTTTCACACAGCACAGATGTTTAGTAATGAACTCTTACATTGAAAATTAGTTTCAGAATAAGTTTTAAAAGATTATTCCATGATGGTGGTCAGATTTTTAGCCATCGTGTATTTTTTATCATCGGCGACATTTGTCGCCTGCTCTTCTGCAAATATTCTTTACCCGGTGGAAAGTGAAAGTCGTGAACTACGTACTCTACATGGATTATGGAACTTCAAGATATCTCCACTATTCAATCAGATGATCGGGTTTGATGAGAAATGGTATACAAAGAGATTTGATACAGTAAGTTTTTAAAAAACATACAAGTATAATTATTTTGTATATATCAAATTTTCTAATAGCTCCTTTTGAGTTCTATGTAAAAACTAACTAAATTATTATTATCTATTATATTTGATATGATTGTTATATTTTTTAGTTAGGTGATTTTTGGAAAATTCCCGTACCATCCAGTTATAACGATATTTCTACTAACTCAACTATCCGAGATTATGTTGGTTGGTCTTGGTATCAATATGAGTTTTATGTACCAAAAAGATGGACCAAAGATCAACTAAATGTATTTTTACGATTTGGTAGTGTACATTTCAAATCAACTGTGGTAAGTATAACATATTTTATTTTACAGTTATTGACTTAACCAGGGGCTTTAATTTACTTCCTAAAGTAAACATTACTCATTTAGCCATAGTCTTCTTTCACTTCGTTTCGTAAGTACTAATATCTATTTGGTATATTTTTAATTTGTAGAAAATTTTTATTTACTTACTATGGTTTTATATTAATTATCTATTATATCTCTATTATATATTATCAAAATACTCAAAATTAACTTCGATTTTTATAGAGTTAAAAAATCTTTTAATAAGAAGTATATTGAATGCCGTAAAATATATGTATAGAAAAATATTTCATTAAGTTATAAAAGTTAATTGTTAAGATATTTATTAGTGGAAAATATAAATAATTAATACAAAATGTATAATATTATTTACTTTTTACTAATATTCAAATCAACTGAACTTAAATTAAGTTTTATTTTAATTTACGAGTGATTTATTTCAAACTATTTAATAAGTTGGTATTTAATATTTATCATTGGAATTAAAATTAATTATTATTTTCCTATTATGATTTGTTATAAGTGATTGACAAGTACTGAGGTTTTTGGTATTTTTATTTTATTTTTTTATTTTTTCCTTTGTCACAACAACATTACAGCAAATAATTAAATTTTATTTAGTAAACATAGTATTTTGTAAAATAAATTTTTTTTTAAAAAACAATAATTATGAACAATGAAATTAAAAATATTTTATAGCAAAAATATATATATATAAACTATATAATTAGTGCATTTTAGAGTATTTATTGATAATTTAACAATTTTGCAATATTATGATAAAATGATGACATATTTTCTTTATATATTAGCATATACTAATAACATTATAATAGACCACAGTGTAATATGATTCCAGTGGTTAAACGGACAGTTATGTGTAGACCATGAAGGTGGTCATTTACCATTTACCGGCGATGCTACCAATTTACTTAAATATGGTGAATCTAATCTAATCGTTGTTGCTGTAAATAACACCCTGACGCCAGATACTATTCCACAGGGATTTACGACATTCCCTAACAATACTTACAAGTACAAATATATAATTTTTAATTCATGTTTATAAGTTAATTATAATTGGTGATTAAATTAGGTATATATTATTATATACATATTTTATAATTTTATAATAATGTTTACAGGTACCCAAAAGGTTATAGAATATATTCCCATGATTTTGACTACTTCGATTATTCTGGTATAAACAGAGCGGTCCAAATATACACTACTCCTAAAGCTTATGTTTGCGATATTACTATATTAACTAGTTTTGGAAATAATTCTGAAGGTAACGTTTATAAGGTTAAGGTTATAACGTATTAGGTAAATTTATAACGTTGATTTTTAAAGTTTTAGCTCATGGTAAATTCAAAATACTAAATATCATATATTATGACCAATTGAAAAATTAAAATATATCTTACAGAAAAATTGTAATAAATATTATTAAATTTTTTAAAGGAATCGTTGACTATAAAGTAGATATTTGTGGAATAAATATTTCTACATGTCATATTACACTTTTGGATGTTAATCGAAATACAGTTGCTGAATCTGATACGTGTTTTGGAAAACTAATAATACCAAACGTAATTCCTTGGTGGCCAATTATGTCCGGGAAAAAACAGATTGCCTACTTATATACTTTTCAAGTATTATTAAATATTTTTAATTAAAAAAAAAAAAAATATGTATTTTATTTATATTTCAACGCGCACAAATTGTTTCTCAAATCAAGGTAGGTTATTTTTTCACTTGAATTGCCTCTGCATATTTAAGAAGTAATTCGAGTACACTAATTACTCTGAATTTCTTCCATAGCATGCCCATTCTGTACAAAATCGATGTAGGTTTAACATCAACATCGATATTAGTTGAAATTTAAAATTATACCCACCTTTATTTTCTATATCATATATACATTAAGCGGATGGTTCGAAATTTTAAATCTAATTTAAAGTAGGCTGGTAAATTTGAAGATATTGTTCACAGTGGTTTTAAATCGCATCATCTAAGCACTAATAAAACTATATTTTGTTAACGACTATAAAGTAAATATTAATGGAGTAAATACACAAGGACACATTGAAATACATGGCGGAAGTAGTGTTCTCAGGAATTCAATGGGAGGGAGGGGTGTTAATGAAGTGAGTTATCAATATTACTTATCAGTAAACTACTATTAATTTTTCTTCTTATTCTAGCTCTTAGTACTATTTAAGTTTTCGCCACCATTATTAAATCTTTCCATTTTACTGTGCCAATTAATTCCATTCTTGAAAATGACTATTAATAATTTTTAAATATAAATTATATGACGAAACAATAAATTTTCTCAAAACTTACAAGTATAATACGAATTAATTGCAAAAAAACCATCCAATACAGGATAAAGAAATAGTAGGGTATTCTTTTTTAATCTTTATTTTTTCAATTAGTTATTTATAATAAAAATAATTTAAAAATGTAGTATTTTTTTTTTCTAGATTTTTAAAATAAATACATCTTTCAATAATATGAACTCTCAAAACGAGTTTTATTCCTTCAAATGTTGACTGGGAAAAAGTTCGAAAATTTTGTTTTTGTTGCATTAAAAAATGTTATGGTAGGAATATACTTCTTCTTCTTCTGTAGCTTTCAATTTTAATTATTATGAATTTTTGAACATAATATGTATATTATACATTGAGTATATGACAACAAACAAAGATAATATTTTTACTAATCTACCTATATATAATTTTTGAGATCAGTGACGGCTTGAGTTTCTACAACTAGTTTTTTAGCCTTATAAAACCACCAATTGTCTAATTAATTTTACTAAATTATTATAAATATTATAAATTATCACAGATTGCTTATATGTAGTTTTAGACCACTGATGTGGATATAATTATATATATGCATTGTAGATTAATGTACATTTATTATACATCATATTACATATACTTTAGTTAATTACCCATTGCAGATACAAACCTACACTTTTTTGGACAAGAGGCGTTCGCTTATGGTAATCTTATAACAAGCCATCCCTGGAGACAATTTGAGTGTGCCCATACATTTAACTATAAAAATATTTATTTTTTCAGCCAATTTTTGTGTTATCGAAATGTTTAGGCTTATACATTATATTAAAAACGTATTACATTTAATTTTAAATCCTAATTATTTAAAAATATGTTTTTTCTGATATTAATGAATTACAGTCAAATATCGATTGTATTTGTCTCAATAGTCTTTTTTAAATTACAAATATAAATTTATTGAATTAGTATTTAAAATGTTGATAATGAATATTTGTAATTATACTTATATGACATTTAGATAACAGGAGCAGAAAAAATAATGTACCTAATTCAAATTATACTAACAATTTTGAAAACACAAACATTAATTGAGATAAAAAGTGTCATAAATATAGGACATATTCAAATTTGAAATTATGTTTAGGTGAAAACTAACAACGAAAATTCTGATTACTATCGTATGAAAATTGGTGTTCGAACTCTACAATGGACATCGAAAGAATTATTACTAAATGATGAACCAATTTATTTAAGAGGATTTGGAAAGCATGAAGATTTTATAGTTAGTGATTAATATTTTTAATATATTATTTTTATATTTTATAGCGAAACATTACTTTAAATTGTCAACGATTGAAATAGGTTATTTTAATACATTATACATAGTGTAGACTAGTGGTTCCCAATAATTTTGAAACAATTACCCATTAATCGGGTTAGATAATAGAATATGACTAGGGCTCGGAACTTAATGCACTTAAAAAATACTATAAATGCATGCACTTATGCGCCTAAAAAAGTACAAATATGCTCTAAAAATATACACTTATATTTTATTTTTGTACACAAAATTTTCATTTGCACAAATATTTTATAAAATTATAATTATAGAAAAATCAAAGTAATAAAAATAATTTTGATTTAAAAAAAAAAATAATAATAATAATAAAATAGCGTTAAAAATGTTTCTTGAATAAAATAAAATGCACTAGTAGAATGTTCAATTATCATTATTTCCTAGAAAAATAGTTATAGAAAATCATTGTATTTCGATAGCAGCTGCTCCTATTTGATATTTGTATAATATTTTATTTTAGATGAAGCTAGCAGTAATTATAATTTATAAATTTATGTATATTATATAAACCAATAGGAGAAAAACATTGTTTTTAATGTCAAATGGAAATTTGAAAAATACAATACAAGAATATTAAGAAAGTTCTCTCAATATGAATTAATTAATTTTTTATTTTTCGAATTTTCATTTTGAATCTTCAAAAATCATAAAATATGCTCTAAGAAATTGTAAAGTTAAGAAATATGCTATAAAATCTAAAAATCACTAAATATGCAAAAATATGCACTATAAATTTTTGATATGGTTTTCGTAGTGTCTTGGAACGAATTTCTAGCTCACTTGGCAATAAATCCAATCGTGCAAAAAAAACATGCAAATGCAACAACTTCCGAGCTCTAAATATGACCTTCCTTATATAAAAGCGCGTGTGCTAGGCTTAACATACAATCCGCATCATCGGGTTATTGCAACTCCATTATAACCGATTCATAGAACCGTAATGATGTACATACATATCAATGACCGAATACCTTTGGAACCTTTCTGATTTTAAAGACTTCAGTTTCAGTTCCGATTCATTAATCTATAAAACCACGGTTCCCGTTTAGGTTTTGGTATTATACATGGTAAAATACAAAATTATAGTGTCGATTTCGGTTCAAACTTTTTTTTTAATGGGAAAAAATAAAAAACATGCACTTCAATGTGAAATATTCCACTTTTCTATTGAAAGAATGTGCATTTTTTGAAAATTATTATAACTATAAATAAAAATTGTAGATACTTATGAAGATTTTGCTATTAAGTTCAATTTACGTAAAAAATGAAATGTTTTTGTTTTGTTTTTTATCACAAACTCTTATAGTTATTATAATACACTTTACTTTTGGTTGTATTCTTTAAGAAATTACGAAGATATTACAGTTAAAATATAAATAAAGAATGATATAGGTAATTCTATGAATCATAATGCTATAAAATTGTTATAGTATTATATTAGTTATTTTTTAGCATTTTGAATCTGTTGACTATTAACATAAGTAATTGATAAGTAAATTAACAAATAAAACACTTTGAAATCGAGACACATTGCAGACGTCTCAAACAAATACAAAATGTTTTATTCGTGTTAGGCCTGATAATTATTTTTTTTTTTGACAATATAATATATAGTTATCTACTTTTATTTTATAAAGATAATTTTACTTGAACTTATTCTTATCTTTATTTAAATTATTCGGGCTCAACACTGGTTATATCATAAGAACCAAAAAAACATTTTAGAACCTAAAGTCAAAATTATTTTATGATTAAGATTCCAGTTTCGGTTTGAGTTTTTTGAAATTTAAGTTTTCCTTAAAGATAAAGGTTCTATAATTTGGCCAAGATTCCGGTTCCAGAATCGGTTCTTTACGGTTGGGTTTCAGTTTCTGATGTATTATGTAAAGGAACATTATATTTTTATATTTTTTGTTAGTACATATGTACATGATTCGTTCCACAGAAGACCTAGGATAATCAAGAGTACAACGCATAAATATTATTTGAAGGTAATAAAATAATAATAGGTATAAAGTACATAAAATAAAATAAAAATTATCTATTCTTTATCTCCTCAAAAAATTCTGTTTTACCCTTTGTGGGTAATTAACCCCAGGTTCGAATTTGCTGTTGTAGACCGATAATAACAAACTATTTTGTAATATTATCGCCTTAATCAATGTTAATTCAGGTCTAAGGTGTTGAATTATTTTACCATCAAAATCTTTAAAATAATGGTGTAATAATAATAGTCGTGTAAACTATAATTAGTAATCTATTATCCATACCAATTGTACAATTCTAAAACGAAAAGGAAAAAGAAACGTTTTAAGATATTAGACACATCTAGATATGTCTAATATCTTAAAATATTTGTATTTTATTTTTTATTTGTTTTATTTTTATATATATTGTCTACAAAAATATTTAAAATACTACAAAATGTGCTTTATTATTAATTTGTTATTCAATTATAGGTCTGTAAAACATTTTTAAACATTACATTTTTGGTTTAAATATAGTTTAATTTTTCTTATTCCTAAAAATATAGATTTAATTATCAAACTACATAAATAAATACTTATGTTTCACAGATACGTGGAAGAGGTTATGATGATGCATTGAGTGCTAGAGACTTTTATTTAATTAAATGGTTGGGTGCTAATTCTTTTCGTACATCCCATTATCCATATGCAGAAGAAACATTACAACAAGCCGATGAGGAAGGCATTTTGGTAATTGTAGAAAGCGCTGCGTGCAGTATAAAGTAAGAATTGTAGATAAAATATTTGAATTAAACTAATTTTTTGTTCTAATAAATGTTTATAGGTTATTTGGATCAAATTTGTTGGAGTTTCACAAACGTACAATGACAGAAAACGTAAATCGGGACAAAAATCATCCAAGTGTTATTATGTGGTCATTGGCTAATGAACCAAGTAACCATTTAAATTCATCGGTAGCATATTTTCAGTGAGTTATTTTAAATAAATTGAAATAATTTAGTAGAATTTATAATTTGAAATAAAAAAAAAAAAAGAGTTCTTAATTCTAAAAGGTTAATGATTCTTGGCTTAAATTGTAAGTATATGTAAAGTGAAATGAAGCTCATAAGTAAATTTTACTAAGTTGCAAATTGTATAATAATGTATTACTTATGACATGTGGGTAAAACTAATCATTGTGCATGAAAAATAAACCTTCATCACCTCGGAAAAATATTTTTAAGCAACAAAAATGATTTTCCATTAATATGACGATGTCTGATTTTCTATCTCTATTGGGGTTGTAGTATACCTATTTTGTATATAATTTATTTTATATTTCCAGAGAACTTTATCAACATGTACGACGATTGGATCAGTCACGACCAATTACTTTTGTTAATAGTCAACAGATTCAAAATGCTAAAGCGGTAAAATATTTCATTTCTACTATTACAACTACCTAAATCAATTATCATATTTATAAATTTTTTACTGAATTTTTTTGTAATTAATTTGAGTTAACTAAATAGTTTCTATTCATGATTAACTAATTTATTTTTATAACAATAGATTGAATTCATGGACATTTTAACTTTAAACCGATACAGCAGCTGGTATAGCGATTCAGGTCATTTAGATGTTATTAAATACCAAATATACAAAGAATTTGTAGCATTTACCAAAATATATAAGAAACCTATGTTATTTACTGAGTATGGCGCTGGTTCACTTTCTGGATTACATTCGGTAAGGCATAAGAATGGTAGGTCTTACTTAATTGTATTTGTAAAAAAAGAAATACAAATTTTTTGAAAAAATATTAAAAACGAAATTAAATTAAATTAAAAAAATTTAAATTAGTATAGGTAAAATGTTAATTATTATCAAAATATTCTATGTTAATAATTTTCTATTCATTTTTTATTTACTTATTGATAAATTAATTTAAAACTGTAATCGATTTATTGTATTGAATATTATAAAAGTAAAATAGTAAAGGTAAAGATTACTTATAAAAGTTTTACATTTGATTGGATTAATATTTATAAGAAGTTAGTATTATAGGTATACCTAACAGTAGTATGCACATCGATGCATTGCACAATGTTCTAAAAATTCTACTAGGTATAGCAGACCAAATAAATCAGATAAATGAGATGATTACTAACTTAGTATTCGTATAAACATAATGTATAATTTTAAATGTTTTCAAATATATATTAAAATAATAATAATATATAGGCTCAATAATAATTAGCTAGTTATAAACAACAATATTTTTTAGAACAATTTTATTACTTCACAAACTATGTTATTTTGTATCAAAAACTATATAATAATTATGTTTAATATTTTTTTTAATGTTATGAAATTTAAGCTACCAGAAACCATGTGGAGTGAAGATTATCACGTAACTCTGCTCCAAGAACACTTCAAAACTTTTGATTCATTAATAGAAAATGGAGTACCAATTTTAGGAGAAATGATATGGAATTTCGCTGATTTTAAAACACCTCAAGGTAAAAAAAAATAAATACCTATACACCTATTTATTTCTATACCAATTATGTGCTAATTTAAATTATATTTATTTTTTAGAGTACATAAGACCTGGGTTGTGTGTAAAAGGTTTGTTTACCAGAGAACGACAGCCTAAGATGGCCGCGTATTTGGTCAAAGAACGTTTCAATAAATTTTTAAGCAATTCTGCACATCAGAATAAATCTTTGAATTGTATAAATTAATTTAAAATTTACACAAAAATATTATACTAAATCAATAGTATAGTATGCTTCTATTTTTCGAGTAATTTACTTTTCAAATTTGTGTAAATTAAAAATACACAAACTTTATAATAACAGCGTATAATTATTTATCACTCACATATCTTTAAATTGCAAATTATACACGTTCGGCTAGCTATTATGCAAATACTAATGTTCTTATGAGTTATATAAACTTAATATTTTTAGACTCAATTCTACTAAGAAAAACTTTTCTAATATTAAAAAGTCTAAAGTAAAGCAAATAAAGTAAAAGTCTACAGTTGTCTGAAATTGCATAGTTTTATTTCAACCAAGATTAATATTTTAATAAAATTTAAATTTGGGTTAATATACAACTTGCAAAAATCAATTAAATTATATTGTATTTTTAAATCATAAGTATAAAACGAATTTGTTTTCAATCATATGTATTAAAAAAAAAAAAATAATAATAGTTATTTTAATACCTCATCGAAAAACATTCTCAAGTAAAATCGAATAAGTATTTTAAATTTTAAATCTAATTGATATATTTTCAGTTGCACCCTTAACGCTATCAAAAATTAAAAACCATTGATTTCTGTTTTGTTTTTTTAATAATTAATTATTTTATTGAATTATTAAGTATATATATTTTTATATGCAATTTTATTGATTAATATTTATGTAGTATATAGCTTTAACTACAGCAGTTAAAAACAAGAAAAATAACGTGCTTTATCGTGCGAACCATGTGATCAATATGTGATTTGTTTATTACATGAAATATACAATGTGATCTTGTTTAATATTGATAAAATGTTTCTGCAAATAAATCCATCCGATACTAAAATGTTTTGTTATTTCATTGTATATATATATAGCGGAAGAAACTCGTGTAAGTAATTGTAAATTATTTTTCGTGTAGGTTCGTAGACTTTTATTTGAAGTCCTCGCTCATATTTATAAAGACCGGTCCTAAAGGTATTTTATAAGCAATTTAAATATGTGTACGTGGGCTCAATTTTTAATTTAAATTTGAGCAAACAAAAGTATTTTATTGTTTATTTTTATTAACTATAATTAAAACAACTTAAGCAAACGGTTAGATTAGATTATCTAGGACCAGATATTATTTCATTGCCTACGTGTTTTGTTTTTGTTGTATCTAACAGCGAAATGTGACAAAAGTCTAAAAATAACCTGTGGTCACTTACGACGATGCATAATAATTCGTTCACGTACTATTACGATTTGAAAGACATATGTGGAACGAAAAATGTGCTTTCAAATCGAATGTACTCTAGTAATACACACGGAATGAAAAAAATGCGTTTTAAACAAAAACAACAGCTACGGGCGTACGTTGCGCAAACCGTTTGGATAATATTTTAATAGCACCACGCGATATGTAATATTGCATAAATACCGTGTTACGCCTTGTATGTAGGTGCAGCGGCGGTCGAAGTGCTGTGCAGATTAGTATAAACGCGGTAATAGGAGTGTAATTACATATTTATATCGGACGGTCGAAAAGGTGATCGTATAAATAATGAAAGAGAAAATTAGCGCTGATTGTCCGTCCGGTCCGAGTGCGATTAATTAGGCGATATCGTCCGGCCGGCCGCCTTCTCCTCGTCGTGCGCGCGTGTTCGACCAGCCGGCGATTATCAAAATATGATCATGATGATGATCGATGATCGATGATAATGACGACAATGACGATCGGGCGACCGTACGAGCGTGTGTACCGGTAACGTATCACAACAATGAAATCATAAAACAACATTCGACGGGCGCGCGCGAGCCAAAGTCCGTTCACGACCGGCGTCACGCGCGATTCCGCGGACCGGCGAGAAAAACACGTAAGGTGTGTGCGTCGCGCAAGCAACTCGAGCACGTGCGGCGGCGGCGGTGGTGGTGGGAGCGTACGCGGCCCCGACTGCGTCGAACCGGTGATCGCGCGCACGGCCTCAGCCCGTCTATATCTGGCCGGCGATAAGATTAAAAAATACGAAATGCACGCGGCGGTGGCACCGGGACGCGCGGACAACGTCTTCGAAACCGCAGCGTGTTCGCACGGACGTTCACTAGTGCCGTTTTATGACGACCGACGGTCAGCACGTGGGCTCGGGACAGCTGCAACACCAGCAGCAGCACCAGCAGCTACAGCACCAGCACCAAGACCAACAGCCGCAGCGACGCCGTCGGACGGGATGCTCGGACTTGGACTGGGCGTACTGCGCGCTCTCCGTGCTCGACGTGCTCCTTCACGTGTTCGTCGCCTCCACCTTCGTCATAGGCATATGGCGCGCTTCGTACGAGCTGTTCGTCTACTACCATGACCAAGTCAACCCTTGGTTGGCCACTGGCGGCTCCGTGATCGTTCAACTGGTACGCACACGCTGTAGTATTTTTCCGTCGCTAACGCGTTCGTTCAACTACCGCGTATTTCCGGCGTCCCCCCCCCAACCCCCGAAAGAGACGTTGCAACGGTGCATCCGAATCGCATTCCAAAAAAATTAACATAAATTGAAATGTCCGAATTGCATGCCACCTCGTAGAGGGGTCTGTCCGAATCTCATTTTTACATGGCATTTAAAAATGTATGTGTAAAAATACTATACTGGGATATCAAAAATATTTCAATCCAGAAATCAGTTGTAATAACCATATCATAAACAGTTTAAGTCAAAATAAAGTTTAAGTTTTGCGCATAAGTGAATGAAAAATAAACTTAGGGATACACGGGCATGCAATTTGGACAGACCCCTCTATGACTTGGCATGCAATTCGGACGAACCCCTGTAAGAGATGCCATGCAATTCGGATGCAGCCCTACAATTAGGTTTTTTGGTTTTTTTTTTTTTTTTTGGTAAACGCTTTCGTAGAGCGCATCAACAGTCTCGCACGTGTGTACCGTTTGCAACCAGTCGGGTGCTACGGGCGCCGTCCATACTTTTTTGGATAAATGTGGTGTTCGTAAGTTGTCTGCAAACCGACGTTTTCGGCCAACCTGACAGATTTTTACCAGCGATTTCTCCGAGTTATTACAATCGTCATGTCCAGACTATAAAAGTCCCTTAAATTACATCTTATATGCACCTACATTCGTTTAATCTGGTTGTACCATCTGTTGTTCTTGATTGAATGGTTTTTAATAATTTATTTATATTTATCTCTATGTAATGAATAAATGTCTACGTGTACTTAATAAATGACCAAAAATGTTTTTAAAACAAAATAATTTATTTTCTTGTTGGCTAAAAATATCTATAAATTCCACATAAGCCCGATGAAAAACTCTGAAACTGATTTAATTATACATTTTTAAAAATATTGATTTCAATTATTTAATTAAAATTCAAAAACTGACAAATTTGAAAAATTTAATTAAATTAAAATTAAACATATAATTGATATTTAGACGTGCTAGGTATGATTTTACCTCTTTTTTTTTTTGATTTTTAAACAATAAAAAATTATCTTCAGATACTAATTAAGACTTACCTAACTAAATATTTTCAAAGTTATTGATCATAATATTTATATTAACATTTATTATAATATTATTGTAAATTGACAGTTTTAATTTTTACTACTAGAAAATTGAATTTAATTAAATTTTTCAACATTCCATAGATTAAATGTAATCTATGAGCATTCCATCTACGATATTTAAATTAAAAAAAAGTGAATTGTGAGTGTATATACATGTATTTGAGGTTAAAATGAGGTAAATTGTGTCAATTATGATGATATATTCTAAATGTAAACTCTCAAATTTGTATTAGAAAAATGTAACATAACTCATCTTTCCTATGTAAATAACGCAACCTACTTATAATTTAAATTATGACCTACTTAAGACTTAAAGTATGAACTAACTTCTGAATTTTAAATATAATCGTATCCAGTGCTCGAATTGGGGGGGGGGGGGGGGCGCGGGGGGCCGGGGCTCCTCTACTATTCTTCATTTTTTTTTGCGTACCCCAACTATATTTTTCACCGGAACGGGGGGACCGCCACGTTCATCCTAATTGATGTCTAAAATCATTTTTATGTGAATTTCAATTTACGCCAATTTGAAAACGAATTTTACGATTTATATCAAAACTATTTTCATAATTAAAGATTATATGGCGGTTATGATAAGGGACAACGTCATCATTTCTGAAGAAATATAAATAGCAATGTCTGTGAATTTGGTGTATTATACTTTATACATTGTACGGTTTGTTATTAATTTTGGTGATCGACGATATCGTCATTTCGGAAAAAAATAAATGCCCGCACCACAACTAATCTTTTAAGGCCGTAGCCCGCACTAAAGAGTAAAAATAAATAAAAACAACAACCAAATATATGATTATATCATTCGATTCATAAGACTGCTTGATCGCTTTCAATTATGTTAATTATTATTTTATTTTTATTTTCTATTGTAACATGTAGGATGTTGGTATTGCTATCAAAATATATTATATTTGGAATTTAAATATTAGTTTAGCTGAAAAGTGGCATTCAAAATATATGTAAGGTTGGTGGAGGAGGAGTGGTTAGGGAAAAAACCCCCAGGGGGTCTGTGTTAAATAATTGCCCACATGGAACGCAGTTTTCAAATCGTTGGTCTGAGCTCCTCTACTTAATTTTTCCCAATTCGAGCACTGATCGCATCAGTTATTGATGCAAAGACAAACGCTCAGTTTTATATCTTATCAGATTTTTCATCTTCATCTTTTTTAATATTCTGGAAAATCGTTCAATCATGTATACCAACAAATATGCTAACTAGTTGGAAAATAGTTGACCTATTCGGATGTCATTAAATTATATAATTATAAATCAAATTATATTTCTTTAAATGTCTATGAAAATTTGATTTTTAAAGTACTGCTGTAATTACTAACATTGTAAAAACACATAGATATTTGAACTTACAAAAAAAAAAAAAAAAATAACTCAAGAAGATTATGATCATCTAAGTAGTAAAAATATTATTATATATTAGTATATATAAATATTCCCAAGTATGAGAGGTTTATCTACTTTTGATGATTATATACAATATCTAAATTATACTAATTGCATTTTTGATATTTAAATAAAAATAA